GCTGCCACAGAGAATGCTAGGCAGTTCAGAAGATCAGAAGATCATTCCATTCAAGGAAAGATAAAAAATCCCAACTTCTTCCAGTTAGCTTAATCATATCTCACTCTTCAACTCTTATTGCCATACACAGGACCCCATCTTGCCAAGACCCAATGCCAGAGCAGGAGTGACCACACCAATTGGCTAAGAATAACAGTAGCCCATAGTACCTTCTCTCAGAATTTACTGCATAATTAACAAGATTGCAGGGGGAGCCAGCAGTACATGGTGGCTACTTTGTGCAGTGCTTTGTGTTGTGGAGGACTGATCAGCTAGAGTTTGGGCACAGAACAAAGAGTTTGGGTGTTGCCCTCTTCAGGTATGAGTGAAGACTAAGAAAAAAAACTCTGAATATATGCCCACTGAAAGGATGGAGCTGTTTAGAGTGACGCTTATGCTGACATCCTCCAGAAATACAAAGAGAGGCAGGAGAAAATTTAGATTCCCTGATTTTCTTTCCACACAGGAGAAATCCCAGAAAAAAAGGAAGCTCTGTTTCTGAGGCTGGCTGGTTTTGAAGCAAAGAGGATGCCTCCCAATTTCTAGGGAAGTGCTTCAATCAATGAGCCATTATATTAAAAAGTGCTGTTACCTGTGCTTCAAGAGCTTAAGTGTGGTCCATGTGAGTTGAAATTAGATATTCTTCTGGGTATATCTGATTCATATCCACATCTGTCACCTCTAAGCATTTGCCAACCTGTACTAAGGACAAGAGAAATGATCTTGTACCACATCATGGCTCAATGAGACTTTCTACATGCCAGTTCCCACTCCAGAATTTCCCCTGAGCAATTTTTCGAGCATGGTTGAGGGGGGTTGAGGAACTCCTGAGGAACATCCCACCAAACTAAGCCTGAAAGAGCTGCAGGCAGGATGGACAGGTGAGACAGGACTAGGTGGGAATGCTGCAGAGCTGCCCTGCCATCTTCATCTTCTTTGCACTGCGATACTGCTGTCCCTACCACAGTCCCAGGACTGTCCCAGCCTATGTTCTTTTCCTATCCCAGCAAGTCTCCAAAAATTTGTCAGAATTTGGCCAAAGATGTGGCCAGTAAGACACACTGGGGTTGGCTGAGTCTGAAGCAGCACTGCGCTCCTGCTGGCTGCGAGCTCTGCACCACTCTCCTGCCCTCCCTTCCCTTCCATGCCTCCTCAGCTCAGGCAACTGGAGGTTCTGTAAGGTGTAGAGCTGAGGCCTAAATTGGAATCCTGAAATGGTCCCCTAAAATTGTACTTATGTTCATCCAAAGCAGCACAAAAAGCAGCATGAATGAAAAATGAGCATAGTTACTGAGGAAACTCAGTATGAGATCAGAGATAAATGTTTGACACGGTCAGAATAGAGCAACCCATTGACCCATGCTTAATGCCCATGGGAAACTTCCTCAGAGTCAAAGGCTAGAAAGAGCATCTGGACTGATCTGTTCTTTATCTTGTACTGTGGTTTCTGCTGAGGGAGTGACTATATCTTGTGGGCAAGGTGGGGGAAAGAGCAGAACATTTTTTTCTTACATTTGTCAGACCTCTTGATACCCAATTGCTTATGCAGCAGAGGACCTAATAAAAAAATTGATAATGCACTCTACGGAGAAGGCATTTTTGTTCTGAGTTTTCTTCCCTCTATACAAAGAATACCAATATAATCTAAACTTGACCATAAATTAACTTACTGCCACAGCCAAAGAAGCCCAGCCAACTTGTTTGCCTTAGAAAAAATTTCAATTTTTCAGCCTCATTTAATGAATTAAAACCTGAAGAGTAGTATTTGAGTATGAAAATACTAAAATGATTATCTGCGTGTCAATCTGATCTTTAATAACTATGCAGTCAAACCTAGGAGTAAGAGCTTGTAAAGAAAGCAGTCAGTTGTTACCAAACAGAAGTCTAGATAGCATAGTCTTAGCTCTAACCATCAATATAAATGGAGTCTCCCAGGATTAGATACAGTGTATTTTCTTTAAGGCACTGCAGTGCAAATAGCTAAGAAGTTACAGGAAAATAACTTTAGAAATACGTAAGAGTTTTATAGATTGAAAGAAATACGAACAGATTACAGAAGATTTGTTTTCAGATAGTAGGCATAGAGTAGCCTGGAAATGTCTGGGAACATTTGGTATTCTGATTCCCAAATAGTTTTTCTTGAAAATAGATCAGATAAACATGATACTTTTCAAGCCTCTTCTTTTCTAGACAACACACCTCATATAGGAATATCTAAGGTTGAATCACTGTAGTGGTATGAGTTTAAGCAGATCTGACTTGTAGAACGCATGGTAAGACTTCCTATTAAAATGCTGTCAGCCCTTGGCATCTATTTACAAATGATAAGTGAAACAAGGGTATCTGTCACTTGATAGTATTGTGTGCAGGACAACACTGAAAAAAGGAGGTTAAGAGTGCTGATAGTTATTGGGGATATATGTGCACTTAGTTGGGAGAAAACTGAGAGGAAACTCAAAGCTTTATATGGTTTTCAGTGCATGGATCTACTGCTATGTCACATAAGTAATCATGTCTCCAGTGTCCTACAGCAATCTCAAAGAGCTCTGCAATCTCTAAAAAAAGCTCCACTTCTACCTTCTTCAGAGAAATCACCAACAACTACCCTCTGCACAGATGGGAGGACAGTGGTAAATATTTGTCAGCTGTTTGGTCATATATGGGTAAAAAACACATCAAGCTGAGCCAACTGAGCTCAAAGATGTGACACAGCCAGCACACAAAAGCTTCCTGAAGACCGACTGCTATGAGGCTAAAGTCATCCAGAAACTTATCAGGCTGTGTGACAATGGATCTTTGATGAATACAGTCAGTTAACAGAATATCTGAAATTCCAGTTTAATATTGATGGAAGGAAGATATTGCTATAAGTGGGTAAATATTTGGAAAGGAAGGATTTGAGGACCTGTGCCTTTACAAGTCTCCAATAACTTTTATTTAGTTTTCAGAACTCAGTTCAGGTGCCTGAAACTAAGCATTCCATGACATCAGCCAGCATGGGTTCATGAAAGGCAGGCTGTGCTTGACCAACCTCATCTCCTTCTATGACTGTGTGACCAGATTGGTAGACGAGGGAAAGACTGTTGCTGTAGTCTACCTAGACTTCACCAAAGCCTTTGACACAGTCTCTCACAGTATTCTCCTGGGGAAACTGACTGCCTGTCCTGTGACCTGGACAGGTATACCCTTCTTTGGGTAAGGAACTGGCTAGAGGGTCATGCCCAGAGGGTAGTGGTTAATGGAGTGAAGTCCAGCTGGCGACCTGTTTCAAGTGGTGCCCCTCAGGGGTCAGTACTGGGGCCCATCTTGTTTAATATCTTTATTGATGACCTAGATGAAGGGATTGAGTGCACCCTCAGTAAGTTTGCAGATGACACCAAGTTGGGAGGTAGTGTTGATCTGCGTGAGGGTAGGGAGGCCCTTCAGAGGGATCTAGATAAGCTGGATCGCTGGGCTGAGGTGAATGGGATGAGCTTCAACAAGGCCAAGTGCCAGATCCTGCACTTTGGCCACAACAACCCCATGCAGCATTATAGGCTTGAGCTGAGTGGCTGGATGACTACAAAGAGGAAAGGGACCTGGGGGTGTTGGTTGATGCTCAGACGAACATGAGCCAACAGTGTGCCCAGGTGGCCAAGAGGGCCAATGGAATCCTGGCCTGCATTAGAACTAGTGTGGCCAGCAGGAGTGGGGAGGTAATCATCCGCCTCTACTCAGCACTGGTGAGGCTGCATCTCAAGTACTGTGTTCAGTTTGGGGCCCCTCACTGCAAGGAAGATATTGGGGCCCTGGAGTGTGTCCAGAGAAGGGCAACGAAACTGGTGAGAGGTCTGGAGCACAAATCTTATGAGGAGCGGGTAAGGGAGCTGAGATTGTTTAGTCTGTAGAAGAAGAGGCTCAGAGGAGACCTCATTGCACTCTACGACTTCCTGAAGGAAGGTTGTGATGGGGAGGGTTTTGGCCTTTTCTCCCATGCAACAAACAAGACCCAAGGAAATGGCCGCAAGTTGTACCAGAGGAGATTTAGATTAGACATAAGGAAGAACTTAACTTTTTTTCTCAGAGAATGGTCAGGCACTGGAATGGCCTGCCAAGGGAGGTTGTGGAGTCGCTGTGCCTGGCAGTGTTCAAGAGGCGTCTGGATCAGGAGCTGTGAGATACGGTTTAGTGGCTTGTGGTGGCAATGGTGATGGGAGTATGGTTGGACTAGATGATCTTGCAGGTCCTTCCCAACCTTGTGATTCTGTGTTTCTATGATTCTATGAAAATCAGGGAAAAGAAAATGTGCGGTAAGGTATTTTCAATATTTTCAACTCAATTATACTATTGGTCAGTAAAGCCTATATCAGAACAGTAACAGAGGCCATGCTTGCAAAAATGGGCATTTCCTAGTAAACTGACATAAACTGGCCAAGGTAACTATGGGAGATCAGAGTCTGAGGGAGTGGTCCCTCCGGACAGGTAGAACTATGCATCCATTTCCTAACAGTTAGTAGTGCAACAGTGTCAAGATGAAAGGGTAAATAAGCTGTGACAAGTAGAAGTGATTAATGCAGATTTTCTTTCAATCTGGAAGTGGGAGGGAGAAAGGGAAGAAGGTGAGGGACACAACCAAAGAGCACAGTACTAATGACTACTACTGGTAAGCTCTTTCCCAGGCCAATACAGTTTTACGCTTCCTCTTTGCTGGAGTAATATCTGGCCTTGGTAAAATTCATTTTGCAAAACTTCTTTTCTTGAAGTACAGTTTAGAGTCTACATTAACTGGTTAACTGTTAAACAGTAAGGTACAGATTGGTAGTGTACCATGTAGTATGTCTTCAGGGAAATGAAAACTGTGATGAAGAGCAGGTAATTTGCCTGGCTTGCACTGAGCAGCTGCTTTGCTACTTTCTGTTGTCAGTCACCTCTTTATTATTGCTCTGCAGGCTTCACTCTGATGTGGTTTGCTGCTGAAACCACTGAAGCAACTTCAGTATGACAATGGAACATCTTGTCTTTAATATTAAACACATGCTGTCTTTTCTCAATCACAGTGGTTCAAGACTAGGATCTATTCATCACCATGATGTTCGAGTGGCTCAGCATCACGTTGGTACTCTTTGCCAAAACAAACAAAGCATTTGTAGCCTCAAATGGTCATTATCCAATCAGTTGCTCGCAAGTGGGTCTAGTGATGGTGCACTGAATATCTGGCACAGTGATCCTGGTGTGAGAGGGCAGTCACAGCCATTGAAAACCATACCTCATTCTTCAGCAGTTAAGGTATATGGAGAAGGAAAAAAAATTCTATATTTATTCTCATTAAGTTATGTTGTTGATGCAAACTGTTGTGGAGTTTTTCAGATTGTCTCAGTTTATTTAGATTTCTATTAGCTTCTTCTCTCTTGAATGTTATGCAGATAATTTTAATACCAGTTCTCCTGATGCAGATAAATATGGTAATGCTTTAATTGATCATGAAATTCTACTGGATTAGGAGGCCTTTGCAAATATAATACCAATCAAAAAATCTACAACCTCCTCCTCCTCTCTCTCTCCATCCTGAAAAGTTCTGTGACACAATGCTTAAAAATCATAAGACAATCTTTCTGTTGTTGGAATTCTGGAAAATTGTCTCTGGAATTCCCTCTGCTGAAATTATTTTAAATGTGAAGTTTCTTTTGCTTTCCTGCCCATTTCAGATTATGATTGCTGAAAGCAAAGGATCTAAAGAGAGAAACCAGAAATGAAACAACTTTGATTCTTTATTAAGTCCTAGTCTGGGAAGGAGAGGTTAGATATCAGAAAGAATGAAGAATCCAGCATTTATAAGCTGCTTATCCTCCTGGAAAAGTCTGAGACTAGTCTGAAGCATTGATGATAAAGGATCAGAGAAGATTTATTGAAATGGGTGGAAATGAGTTCTTTGTAACTTTTCTTTAGATAGAGTCAGGACATATTGAAGAAATACCTCAAAGAACCTATCTTTATTTCAAGCTTCTACAATGGCTTGAGTTAGACATAAGTCAAACTGCATTCTGTTGGATTCTTGTGGTACTGAGGTGTGAATCTGTGACCTATGAAGAGTGAGCAGAGAAGCTGTAATTTTATGAGCTTAAGTAAGGCAGTGTAGGCTAACGTAAAGAAATGATGAAGGGAGCAGTAATTGGAGTTTTGGGATCCTATGTTCTGCATGTGTATGGCAGGAAGAGCATGATGTAGTATGGAATAAAAAGAAAGAGATACATTCTGGGTGCTTGTTGCTGATCATTTTTCCAACTGGGCTTTTAAGTAAATTCTGTTCTGTTTTCCAGTTAACCTCCTAGTCTGTTCTGGTGTCTGATTTCTTTTTCTTTTTTAAGGCTATGAACTGGTGTCCTTGGCAGTCCAATGTCATTGCTACAGGGGGTGGAATGAAAGATGGGATTTTGCGTGTCTGGGATATAAACAGTGAAAAACTCCTCCAGAGTGCAGCTACAGATTCTCAGGTGAAGATGAAATATCTGCATGCTCTGGCTCTGCTCTTCCTGTATAGCTATGCTCTTTTGGCAAACTCCCACTGACTTTGGGGGTTGTTCTGCGGGCTGGAGAGCAGCAGGATTTTCTCTGTATCTGCAGTTGTGCTACATTCAGCCCTGAAGTGTGGGGCTGGAGTCAGAAGTAGTTTGTTTTTCATTTACAATTTCTCTTCACACAGAAATGCTTGAAAAGAAGGTAGTCTCACAGCCAGACACTTTTCATCATCTTTTTATTTGTGGCAATGGTGGTTTTGGCCAAAATTCTCATGAAGAGAGAGCGCTGATGGGGAGGACAGCTATCCAGAGTGCTGGGGTGGGGAGAGGTCTAAGAGTCAGAGGTCAAGCATCAGTCTCTTGGGTTAGAATACTAGGAGACAGAGAAATAAATTCTCAGCTGTAATAAAATAGTATAGCTGATGATTTTCCTGGAGCTGTGACAACTTGGAGATATGCTTAGAGGACCTTGGTTTCATACTGATAGGCTATTAATGCATTTAGTCTATAGAGCAGCTGTTCCTTGAAATGTTGCAAGAAATGAAATCATCCTTCTAAATAAATAAATATTCTGCTGGGGCAGTTTCTCAGTAACTTCTTCAAATGCTCTAGGTAACATTTCAGATCTCCTGAATGATCTGTGTTGACTCATTCTGAAAACTAAAATAGAATTTTAAACTACAATAGATTTGTTCATTGCTCTGGTTACCCAAAACCAGTGAACTGATGACTGGACAAGGCCTTCCTGGAAATCAGATGAAAGTATGGCAGCATGCAGGACTAATCAATTCATCAGAACTCTATGGCAAGTATTTCAGTTCATTGTTTTAGATATTTCAATTACCCATTTTTCTCTCTGACCAGTTTTTTTTTTTCTTTCTTTTTTTTTTAAATACGTATGTTATACATTTAAGTAAAATAAAGCTTAAAGAGCACTCACCTACACATCTTTACTTACATGCAGGTATTCATTCATTAAGTCTTGATGCATGAGATCATAAAGGTTGGCTTAGTAAGATAGTGATGTAAATTTCTTCTGTAAAATTCTGTAAAGTTCTAATGATGAACTCCTATAATTTCTGAAGCTGTCCTAGGTGCAAACTGTGGATTTAGACTTCTCCCTAAGGATTACTAGGCCTGGACTGAGTGTGCTGGTGTCAGCTTGCTTCAAATACTTTGTAGGCTGGTGGCCTTTTAAATGACACAAAATAGATATGATTCTTCAGTTTTGCAGCTCAGTGAGCCAGGATATTGTACCAGTTTCCAAATTTTGAATGTGATAAATCTCCATGTGTTATCAAGAGCTGTCTGAGTGTTAATGAATGCTTTTGACTGTGAACAGTGCCTTGTGTTGTCTCCTTGTACCATGCTGATAGCTAGGGGAAGTGTAGTCTCCTTACTGTTCTGTTTCAGTCCATAAAGCTGTAGTGTCCCAGCTGTTGTTTGTTATTAAGCCTTCTTGTTGCTGGTGCTTGCTGCCATTCTGATGCATTGAGTTTTACTTGTTTCAGTGTTAAATGAATGAGTAAACAAATAAATGTAACTGAATTTTGTTGAATCCTGTAAAATGCTGAGTATCTGAAAGCACTCAGTAGGAATGAAGTTCATCAGGCATTGTTAGGTACTTTAGCATTTGAGATTGCCAATTACTGAGCATAATTACAACAGAATTCTGACTGATACTAATCTTTTTATAGCAGAGTCCATTTTTGGTTCACTTCTAATAGAAATATTAGAACAATTTACTAGAAGATTCATTTTGGATGTAAATGTAATCCCCTTAGAACTTAGAAAAGTTGTTTATGTCAAAGAAAATACATAATAAAACAAAATATGCAATTTCTTTGAAAAATAACCTGGTGTGATCTTCAAACAATGATGTAAAACTCCACCCTTCTCCACTCAGAAAGTATGGAAATTTATAATTTTGACTTTTCTGATTTCTTCTGACCCCCCAACTCTTCTACTGAAGCTAGTAATAAGTTTTTCAATCAGTGTTGTGGTCCAAAGACCACATCTACAATTCCTTCTTTAGAACTGTTAGAGACACTGAATGGAACAAGAGTGTAAGAAATTTTCTGTCTTTTTAAATTCATGGCTTTTGATATCGACAAAGATCATGTAATCTTTAATAGCTTGAGAAGGGTCAAAGCTTCAAAATAATACCTGCTGAAATAATTTAATAATGGTATCAGAATTCTAGTCACAAAATTTAGGTAGGGGATGTTTTTTAGCACCAGTACAGCAGAATCTTGCTTTTGGTCTGCAGTCTTATGCATCTTCATGGAGTACTACTGTATAAATCCTACAGTTTCAGAAAGCCTTACAGTTCTCCATGTGCTTATCTTCATCATACTGTTTTGAGCTAGAGAGAGAAATGCCACCTCCATTGAGTTCATGGATAATTCAGGTGCAGAGGCTGAGAAGATCACCTATATTCATTCAAAATGATCACCTAAGACTTTCTTCATAACTTTTCACTTCTTTTCAGGATATGACTTGTCTGTTTTAGATGAGGAACACTACAACTCAAAATCCTCATTTTTTTCTCTTAGGTGTCTGTGTCACCTTTATGATTGTCCATGACTCATCCCCCAGATAAGCTAATGGCTAGTAAATTTCAGTAAAAATGCAACCTATGCCCCCATGTGCCTAAAATCCCTATGGATTTTCTTAGGAGTGACATTGTGCAAGATCACACAGGAGGTCTGTGTAAGAGCTGTGAAGCAAATCTCAATTGTCTCAGTTTAGTATCAAACAATTTCTTTAGTTCAGTCAGTTGATTCTACTGTGAGAGACACTTGTATAACTGAGTTAATGAGTTGTGTACATTATTTATGCTGTTAGACTAGGGTAGCTTCTGGCCTTTAGCTACAGCTGCCAAAATTTTCTCCAACTGCAGACAAAACCAAATATAAAATTCCAATAAATTGTTCATTGGGATTACTGTTAAAAGATCTTCCTAATAGTAATAATGCAGCAGCTGGAACCACTATCTTGTAATTGTTGGATCAGCTACTAACTGTCGCAAGGCATAAGCAGCCAGATGGGAAAGCTCAGCAGTCAGACTGATTACCAAACACAGACTTAGGTTATAAATGCAGTGAAGAAACAAGAGTGCAGATTTCATGTTCTCCTTTGACAGAAATGTCTTTTCAATGTGGTTCAGTCCTGGAAGTTAAAGCCTGGTCCCTAAAGGAAAATACTGCCTTCAACTCTTAATGTGAAAATACTCTGTACAAAAGGCTATCTTTGCACATCGTGCAGGGTATCAACCCACTGCAGTAAAAGCAGAACACCTGCTTTGGTTGTAGGTAGAAAAAGCGATTGACAATCTCTGTGTAAAATTGTGATTTATCTTAGCATTTTTTTTTAACTTATTTTATTTTTCAGGTCATAAAGGGAGAGTCCTGCATATAGCCTTGAGCCCAGATCAGAGGAGGCTCTTTTCGGTTGCTGCTGATGGGATAGCTTGTCTGTGGAAATGCCATGAGTATGAAGAGAGCAATGAAAAAAAATAAGATTTTTTTCTAATGATTATTAGAGCTCATTCTTGTGATTTATTTTCCTTGAAAGCAAATGATTTTATGTATTTCACTCATTCAGTAATTCAAAATATGTGTATTCCTTCCAACTGAAACATGGCAAAAGATAGTGTCATTTTTTCAAGAGTAAAGCAATTTTATCCATTTAGTCCATTATATGAAATGTTAGTAGCTTGTCTTAATTAGCCTAGAGGAAAATAATTCTAACTCTGAAGAATAACAAATCATTTTTGTTTTCATTAAACTAACAAGCATGGATGGAATCCACCCCATGCCAACATAAGGTCTTAGGTCCTGCTTTTAGCTATGATTCTTGTAATTTTACATGGTCTTAGTGTCTGTATTGGAATCCAAATGCCAGGCTGTTTAAATTGCATTGAATCAGTCAAGGGCTGGGGTCAGTAGATACCAGTCCAAGGGACTGGATTGTTCCATATATCACATAGCTCATAGTACAGAATCCACCGAAACATTCCTGGAGATCCTAGCAAGATAGATGATACTAAATAAAAATAAATGATTTCTTGACAAGTCATCATTTCTGTCATAGCAATGATAATTAACTTTATTAGCTAAATAAGCTGTATTGAATTTAGAATTTTTTCCTTATATCCACTCACTGTGTTTGTCAGATGTTTGGAAATACAAATAACTGCACAATAATTCTATTAATATCTAGAGTTTTGTAATCAACTTGTTAATAAACCAGACAGGCATAGTCAGTGAAGCGCAGAGTTAATTTTTTATCCCTTAAGGGTAGCAATTTAGTTCTGGGTGTCCATAGATTTGGCAGCTGTCACTCTTCTATGAATTTTACGTAATGCCACATCTCTTGGACTTTAATAGGAATTTTCTGCAAAATGCCTATGTACTGTCAACAGCTAAGAAAGGACGTCAGATTTGGTCTTCAGATGCTACTTAAATACAATTCTGTAGAGCTATTGCAAGCCATATTTTAGCCATAAGAGTCTCTGGAGCTTTGATTTCATTATTGGGAATGAAGAGAGGAAAGGATTCACTCTTGCATTTGTGTCTTAAAAGCCCAGTGAGTTCAGAAGCTCATTAGGGTTTTTTCCCAGTTGAAATGTATTTAGTGTCTGTCTTGTAGCTGAATTGTGAGAAAATGGGATGTAAGGGGGGTAGATCAATGTCAATGGAAAAATAAGCCGTTGGCCAAATGATTGAAAAAAGAAGCAACATTAACAGGGGCACAGACGTTTCTGAAAGTGAATGTGAAACTCTCTTGTCTTTAGTTCTCATCGTTTTAAAAACCTTATCTGATATTTGTAAGTCAGATGATCACTAATTTTAGGTCTGGCAGGTTGAGACCACCCATCTTTTTTATCTGACAAGTTACTAATTTACAATAAATCTGCCACCAAGTTAACCTTTCTGTGGTCACCTTATATCATCTTCGGAAAAGGTTAGAAAATGAGAACAGTGATAATCAATTTTGAAATTACTATGAAGAAGCTGATGCCTAAGAATGGGATATAACTTACACCGAGCCTATCTCCTAATGTATCTTGTAATATTTGACCAATTATTTAACTTAAAATAATTAAAATAGACCAGCTTAAATATTCAAAATAGTGTTTTATGCAATCTTAAAGGTTGTTTTTTTTTTAGTGATAAAAAAACATTTTCTTTCTTTTGATTGGGAGAAAAGCTGTGGAATTCTATGGAGTTCTTTACTCATGTATTTCAGGAATTGCCCCAGAAATTCTTTCTGTTCTTGGATGGTACATAAATGTTGGTTTGCCAAATAAAAGAAAAGAGGGTGGAGGACTGTGGTGGAGAAGGAGCTAGTCAACACTGAAGTTAGGCGTTTTTTTTTGCGATGTTTATCTGTTGAAATAAAACAAAAACAAAAACAAAAAAACCCCACTTGTTTTCAAACTGAGAATTGCTTAGTACTTAATTATCCAAGTTCATTATTGAGTTGTGAAGCTATATTGGCCCCAGAAGTATTTCAACACAATATCTGACAGAGGGAGAAGTTGCTTATTTCTGCAGGACTACCCAATAGCCCATGAAATTCTGTATGTGTGCACTGTAGCCCTATTTTATGACCACATCTTAGAAAACATTTAAACATATATTTAAATTCCAGTCTATGTTTAATCTGTAGTCAAATTAAGCATATAATTACATGCCTTTTCTAGTCAATTTCTTCTGTATCACCAGCATCTATCTTTCCTAATAGGAATCTGAGGACTTGAGTGGCATGCTTCTGCTTCACTGAGCTTTATAGGTACCGTTGCTGAATACTTGCAGACATAGAAAGTACAAATACTGAAAATCAATCAATGTTCATGTGTAGTTGTCTCATTGTGCCTGTGCTAAAGTCTTAATATATGAGGGCCTGGGCAAAATGTGAGGTCTTGACATCCTCCTTGTATAACATGGTGTATTTTTAGCTCATTGTGTGCTACGTGCCTAGTCTATGGTTCACAGAATCACAGAATTGCTGAAGTAGGCAAAGGCCCCTGGGTGTATGTCCAATTCTACATAAGCAGGGCTGCCAGAGCAGGGTCCATAGAACAATGTCCAATCAGGTTTTGAAGATGTCCAAGGAGGGGGCCTCTCACTGGGTAGCCTGGACCAGTTCTCCATGACTTGCATTATTTATCTGCAGTAAGCAAATAAATACTTACTGATTTTCAGAAGGAACTTCTGGTGTTTCAGTTTGTGCCCATTGCCTCTTGTACTGGCACTGGCATGCTAAAAGGAGCCCAACCTCATCCTCTTCATACCCTCCCTTTAGGTATTTACAGACATTGGTGAAATCCCCTGAGCCTTCTATTTTCTGGAAAGAGCAGTCCCAGCTCTCTCTCTTCATAGGAAAATTGCTGCACACCCTTCATCATCTTGGTGGCCCTCCATTGGACTACTGTAGTGTAGGACATCACTGGACACAGCATTCTAGAGATGATCTTACCAATGTTGAGTTAATGGGAAGGATCCCCTCTCTTTTTCTGCTGGTGATACTTTGCCTGATGCTGACTCCTGTTCAGACCCAGGCTAGTTTCAGACAAAGATCAGAATCAGAACAAAAATTATTTTTAGAAGAGGAAAAACTTCACTGACATATAATGAAGTGGTTATCTGAATGTGATGCAATGAAATAGACTATAGAAACTTCTATTAGGAAATGCCTTTGTTCTGCACATAAATGCACTCCTGAGGCTACACAATCTGACTTGATGCTATTCAGATAAATATTACACTGCTTTACTTAATGCTGTATAAACATAAGCCTGTTCACTTCCTGGTTCACAGTGAGTAGACATTGTTGCATGCTAGATGTCAAAATGTAATTGACTGATGTCCACACTTAATCTAGCTGATACATGTGATCTTAATTTCTACTGAGATTCTCTGTTACCTAAACTTGCATGGGCTCCCTCCAGTAGTGCTGGAGCTGTATTCAGCTTTGCTGGTTATGACTTCCAGACTTGGGCAGAGGAAGCAATAAGATGAACATGCAATAGCAGAATGGAAGATGGAGAGTGAAAAATTGGACAAAGAGTAAACTAATAAAGTGAGACTAGTCAGTGGGGAGAGTGAAATAGCCCTGGATGATTGATTGTTTTGAAGATCAGCTGCAGATTTTTCACAAGACTTGTAAAGACTTATTGTTTTCTGAAGGATTTTAGAACCAATTCTTTCCAAACTAAGAATTTGGTAGTTTGCATGACAAGGGAATAGAAAAATTCTCAGTTGTTTTACTCATTTGCTAGGTGTTTAAAACAGAAATAAAGTCACCACTTTGGGTGTTAGTAAGTCAGTGAGCCAGCTGTCCTGTTAGTTTTTCTGATGCAGTCTTCACTGGCCAAGAATCCTCCTCTCTGCTTTGCTTTGCTTATGTGCTTGTTCTCCTTTGCTTGTGCTTGTGCACCTGTTTATGTGTTCAGTCCATAAATTAAACATATGTAATTACTCTTTAGAAATAACAATCAGGAATGTTAAAAGTTCTGACTGTGTAACATCATAGTGGACAGAAAATATTAAAAAAGGTGTTCAGCATCAAAACTTTCAAGGATCCTATAGACTAGGCCCTCTCCTTGCTCAGTAACTGGATATCAGGTGAAAGCAGTTGTATTTTAATCCATATTTTCCCATATGTTTATAAATTATGTTCAATTATTCATTATGAAGAGATACTTTTTAATTAAAATCATGCTATATTTATGCACCTTGTGAATGCTGACCACTTTCTTTTACTTGATACCTATTTCCAATTTAGAAATGCCAAAGAAACAAAATAAAACTACCTCCTTTTTGAGGCATTCACGACATTGAAAATACCCAATACTGTTAATACAGAGGTGGGGGAGACATTTTTCACAATAGATCTGTTTGCTGTTTGACAAGTGGTTGTTGAAGCACTTAAAAATTCCACTGCCCAGTGGCAGAAGTGGAACCATGAAGGTGTCTCAGCTGGAGTATTAATATGAAAAAAATGCTGTTTGTAATGCAAAAACAAAAAACCTATGGAATAATAGGACTGACCTTAATGATTCTATGAGTCTACAAATGTATTTCTTTTTCCTTTTTTTTTTTTTTTTCCCCTTGTAATGCAAAGAGCACTCAATTCAAGTTGATACT